TCCGGTGCGCCTACAGCATAGCGCCCCGTACTTCACAGGTAGAGCGTGAGCACAGAGTATAGCGCGAGAACATAATATACCACAACTATAGTTAAATAGAACTATAGGCCGTGCCACCAAATCGTTGCGACCGAACGCCGCGCGCACTGCGCCGACAAAAACTACTAAACAAAAGAACTACTAGAGAAATGCATTTCCTCGCGCAAATAGCATCGCCATTAGATAAATAACGGAAAACTTAATAAATAACGCTAAGATTGTCACAAACGCAAATAACCGCCTCGCGAGTAATAGACAAAATCGCATGTCACACCTAAAACGCAATGCGAAACGCACCTAACCATCGTAAAAACATCCTGCAATACGAACAAGACCACCAAGACGAAATTCAGAATGGTGTAATTAGGAAAAAGCCTTAAAACTAACACGGAAAATCCACGCGAGTCGCAACAAAGGAATCGCGGCAACGCCAAAAAACCTATAACGAAAAAACAGTCGCAACAAATTAATGCAAATTTTACCGCGACAAGCTGCAGAAAGCAACGACCAAGCACATCAAAAAGAGCACCGCGATCCCTAGAACAGAATGTCGCATCTAAACTAAAGAAAATCGGGCGATCGAAAGCGTATAATTACAAAAATATCATTATAGAATATTCTCGAACTTTCTAGAACATTCTAGAAGATTTGCGACTAAACAAAGGAAGAAACACCCCCTTTACCGTGAGGGGTCACAAAACAATAATATATAAGCGAAGCGTTCACAGACTCATTATCCTCATTCTTCCTTATCCTCTCGCATAAGAACGATAAGAATACCAGCGCTTACGTTGAGCGTAAGCAATCTCCATCTTTCCGCAAAACGGGCTTCGACTTCAACGTGCGCCTCCCTAGGCGATAAGAAGTCATCCTTCACCTCCAGTCTTGACGTGCGCTTTTAATTGAGCGTCGATAAACTGGAAAAATCCCGTGGAACTCAAACGAGCGCCTTCCATGGCGTCGAGGCCTCCACACTCCCCTCGATATTAAAACTATTTCACATATTCGTAGATGCCGAAGGGCAAGCGCCCTAGGGGAAAGCGAGGAGGGTGGCGCGTCCATCTCCGCGCACTGAAAAGGTCACTCTACGCTAACGGAAAATTCGACCCCGCGAAACACTGGGGGAATCGCGCGACCTAAAAATCCAGGAAGAAACGGGAGACCCCGCGAGGTCCACAGTCCGAGAAACAACCATAGGAACCGACGAACGTGAGAACGCACCGGTCGAAGAACCAATCAGGGGACCGCCGTCTAGACGATCTCCCCCTCACGTGGCCCCAGAGCGGAAGCCCACTAGGCCCCAACTAATCACTTCTATAAAAAGAAATCCATGTATAGTCGCTAACCGAAAGTGTAGCATAAAAATAAAAATAGTTAAAACATATTACATAGCTATGATCTCATTTCCCCTTCCTGTGCCTTTTCACAAAGAAAAAGAGAGCGTAGATAGGGAGAATTATGTGATGATAAGCCCAAGCGAGAGATCTAGTTATTTCAACATTCGCTGAGCACCCAAAATCTGACGATTCCTCTAAACTCTCCATTTATTTTTCTTTCCATATAAAGGCACACGAAGGCAGTGAAAACGCGCAAATCAAATCATAATACCAAGATACTTATGAAACCACATTAAATCGTGCCGATAACGAAGGCACTGGTGACAGCAGCCTGCCCGAGAGCAAAAACTCTTCAAAACTCAGCTGAAGCCAAGGCTTCGCCCCGCGCGCCCCCGCTCCGCGCCTGCGCTCCGCCGAACCGTGTCGCGTCTCGTGCTCGCGAAACAAACGCGAACCAGGACGTAACACTGTATCTAGATAAATTTTAAGAGTATCTTACCCATCACTGGCTATCAGGGAGAGATTCGAGCTACGCGTTGCGTCGATTGTTAGCTCAGAATTTCACAACGGACGGGGTCCGCTTTCAATTTGGTGATTTGCATTTCTCTCGTACCCTCGGCGTGTCGTGAGCTCAGCGTTCCGTGATCATTTTTGTCGTGTGCTATCGGTGTTGCATGTGTGCTCGCGGTGCACGAAGAGTATGGTGTGTTTGTCTTCGATGCGAGCAATTCATTTATCGCACTCGCGTTTAAAAATTTCGGAATTAATTGTAGCACTATCGCGCTTGAGTCTCGATCTCTAAGTGTGATATCGTGTGTATTTTCCGGCGTATATACGCCGCTAGAAAAAGAGTGTTGCGCTGTGGAATTTTCAGTTCCGAATCTCGCGATAGAATGTGAATACATGAATGCTGAGACTCCGTTAATTATTGAAGCGACTTCGCGTTCTCTTTGCCTACTCTCGCGATTTTACGTTCTAGCTGCTTGTTCTTTTTTTTTCTCTTCTTTTTCACTAAAGAGCGGTCATCATCGTTTTGGTTTATTTTTGTATTACTCTTTTTACTTCTTTCTTTTTTCTTCATAATAAACGTACTTGTAATTGTTATATTTATGACGACTGTATTACCCGGCCTCCGGTATTGTCCTTGAACATCCGGTTCACCATCCTGCAGACACGTCCGTTACCTAAACACCCCGCCCCTCTACTGTTAGGTAGAGCTAGCCAGCCTTCACGTGAGTGAGATTATTTATGGGTTGTTGGCGTTATCATCGCGTTATCGGATTTGGTGCTCGTCGTTCGCAGTTAGCATTTGTGTTTGTGATATTGACGCCTCAGAGCACTTCCGGCGCTCAACAGTGTCGCGATTCGCGATCCTCGCTCGACCACGTGAGGTGTACTTTTCCGTGCGAGAACCTTTGCTTTCCCTCCGCTCCAATTGATTCGCCGTTTTCCGAGTGCGCCCCCGCGTTTACTCCCGCGAAGCCAGAAAAAGGCGTGACAGTACGTATGTACCTACATACTATACATAGTGTGCGTACATTCTTCATTATAAGGACCTATAAAATTAGCCGAAACATGACAGTGGTCCGACCGACGTAACCGTTGTCATATTTTTTAACATTACCGTTCAAAATTACCGTTTAAAAAATTGACATAATAATAACAATTGTGCAATCTATTATTACAAACATCACAATCTTAATCGGGTCACTTTCAATGCAAATACAGATTATGGTTTTACAAATTATAAGATGCGAATCCAACAATGATTCTGTCATTTTGTTTATTCGATCCCCGCAATTTCTTTTTTTCCAATGTGAATCATTGAAGAAATTAAACTTTTTCTGAATGTAGAACTTGTTACAATACGTGTAGCATATAATCCAAATTGTCATAACTTGGTACATGTCCGTATATGTAGCCGTTAATTGAGTTTTTATGTTCGAACTGGAACATTGCATGGAACACGTATACTTTGAACTGTGCCAGTATGCACACAGTATGATCGAATGAGAGAGAAGAATTTAAATAATTTAAATAATTTTTTACGCCAAAAGTAGTGTTACCAATAAATTTGATGCTGTAAAGATAAAATTTGTGATGAAGATTCTATTATAGAATGTGAATAAATAGTTCGTGCTTTAAATAATATCGGAAATACTGCATCACATGACAAATAAACGAATACGTGATAAATAATTTGTGTTTGTAAACTGTTTCTACATTTTGGTCTTCAACGTACGATTGAACCGTTCGACAACTGTTGCCCTCATTACGAAAATACGTCGAATAGTGATTGATTCCCTGTGTTTTCAAGGCATTTTCGATTGCGGTCTAATAAACAATTTAATAAATGTTCGAAGGTGGTTAATAGCTATGCAAACTGTTTTTTTTACCCTTCAAGTTCAGAAACACGAAAAAATCTCGATTCAGCAAATTGCATTGAGGTTTCTGAGACTCCAGTGCGTATAGCTGTGGTCGTGGTGGGAAAAAATAAAGTGTTTATGCGCATATTTTTGAACAGTCGGTAAGATTTTGTTCCAGCGGCAGTCATTTTAGAAACCTAGAGTTACTTTCCATAGATACAGAAATTTGAAATTGGCGGACGTTGGTACGATGTGCAAAATAATACGAAAACGCGTCTTCGGTATGAGCACACCTTATTCCTTTCGATCATGGCTGAGGTTAAAAGTGGTTCGATAGAAGTTTGACAGCGATTTGATAGATGTTTGACAGTGATTCGATAGACGTTCGACAATGGTTTGATATATGTATATTCAATAATTGTCGTAGACGTTTGATTGTATTCACTAGTACTATCAAAATATATAACTAGATACACGACATAATAGTAAAGCATTTTCGGTTAATGATTTAAGTTTAACAGATAAAAGTGTATACGTTCTTCTCGATGAGACGTCAATGTACGGCAGCTGTGACGAAGACCACGTTAGAAACAATTTTGCATAAGTGCAATATAAAAATTTTTTCTAAGCATAATCGGCATTTTTTGCGGTATGATTACTCTGCCGAATGCATAGAAACACAATTTTGCAGTTTCACATAGTGTGCCGACTTCCGCAATATTTGTCGCCAATGACTAGTAAGTAGTAAGTGAACATCCGTTTAATCAACAACTTGTGAGTCAACGTCGTTTCTCAATGGAAACGTATGTGAACAATTATAAAATACATAATTTCATAATACAGTAGTTCTACCAATAATTGCGTTTCAAGGTTGAAAAGGATTACGCAGATTACAGAATTGTCTATGTACTTATATAAATTCTCATCGAAATATTTAGGCAATAAGATCAGCTTTGATCGAAAATGAGATTTCTTTTACTTAATTGATGGAATTAAAATTTTATTGACCTAATTAAAGAAATTTTTTTATACGATTTGTAACATACTATATGTATGTACGAGGACAAATCAATAAGTACCCGTGTTTGAAGATTGGTGACGTTGCTGATGCAAGTTGGCATTACCATCGTGTACTACCATCTTTCAAATAACGCCATACAAAATTTCAGAGTGATTCATGCAATAGTCTTGATTTGACAGCAATTCGTAGTGAGAGTGTTTAATGTTTTCTGATACAATGGAAAAAGAATAATATCGATCCGTGATTCGCTTTTTATTTTTTAATGGAAAAACGTGCGAAGAAATAAAAACGAAGTTGGATGCCGTCTATGGGAACCCTTCACCATATATGACAACCGTCAGATATTGGTTCAACGAATTCAAACGTTGTCGTTCGTCTGTTTTTGATGAGGAGCGCCCAGGCCGACCGGCAGACGTGGTTACTGAGGAAATCATTGAAAAAGTCCACGACATGATTCTCGCTGATCGCCGAACAAAAGTGCATGAAGTAGCAGAGGCCATAGGCGTGTCGTATGGAACGGTATTCAATATTTTGCATGCTAATTTGGGAATGAAAAAGCTGTCGGCTCGATGGGTGCCGCGATTGCTCACGGTGGACAACAAGCGGATGCGGCTAAATTTCAAAGCAATGTTTGGAGCTGTTCAAGCGCAATCCGAAGGAGTTTTTGCGTCGAGTAGTAACCGTTGATGAAACATAAATTCATTACTACACTGGAGACCGTTGGGAAAAGTGTATCCTTCTAAAAGAGGATTACGTTGAAAAATAAAAAGTTTTGTGAAAATCTTGCGTCTTCATTACTAACACGGGTACTTATTGATTTGCCCTCGTATATATATGTATATATATGTTATTTCTTGTTAAAGTTTTACTTATAAACATTTACATCAAGCACAAAAATCTTTCACAAATAAAATTAATATTTCCTGTAATTAAAATAATTAGATAGTATAAGATACACGTAAAATCGAAAAATGAAAAAAAAACAAAAAGGAGTAAATTATAGTTAATTTCACAAAGGACTCCACACCAACCTTATGGGTTTTGGCTCTCGGTGAAATTGTCTGACAATTTAGTATATTGTCCTTCTTATTTTCCTAAAGAAATGTCTCAATGGGCAGAAAGTTCATAAATGTCTAGGATCCGAGTTATGGAGCGCTAAAATATGAAAACGCGTCTATTCGTTCGATGATATTCAGTAAGATAGATGTAACGTATTCATGTGTGTGTAAGACAGGGAATCGATTCAGCCAACTAAGGCAAAGCTGACAAACGTTATACGTGTAACATTCAATCTAATATATAATATTAAAGGACCGTATATGTGATAATATAAACTATAGAAATCAAAACTTTAAACGGTCTAGCTGGATCTTAAATGCTTCTATGATTCTGTGTGAATTTATATACTACATATGTAGTCCTTTTTGAAACACGCGCCGATTTTTCGGTCTTGAAACGCTAATTCTACTAAACTACCGCAGTAATATCACGAGTTAAAATTGACTAGCAATTTTAACAATTTCTTTATTTGCTTTTTTGCATCTTCGAAACGATCTTAATTATGCTGAGTGACATATTAAAATCTGTAAATAATTAAATCTTATTGCGAAAAATATTACCTCGGCCGGAAGTCGAACTCTCGAAAAATCCTCGAAAAATCATTTCGGCGCGCGTTTCAAAAAGGATTGCATACATAGTATATAAGTTCACACAAATTCATAGAAACATTTAAGATCCAGCTAGACCGTTTAAGACTTAGATTTCTATAGTTTGTGTTATCACATATACGGTCCTATAATATATTATATTGAATATATAATATATTACATGTATAACATTTGTGTCAGTTTTGCCTTAGTTGGCTGAATCGATTCCCGGTCTTATACACACATGAATACATTACATCTATCTTACCGATTATCATCGAGCGAATAGACGCATTTTCATACTTTAGCGCTCCATAACTCGGAACCTAGGCATTTTTGGACTTTGTGTCCATTGAGACATTTCTTCAGGACAGGAGAACAACATACTAAATTTTCAGACAATTTCACCGAGAGCTAAAACCCATAAAGTTGGTGTGGTGTCCTTTACCGTTGTATCTGTAGGAAGTTCGTGATTGATCACAACAATGCGACAGAACCATATTTTGCAACAGTTTAATTTTAATCCTATTATAACAATATAATGTCGTTATTAATCAATAATTAGATATTATAGCGATAAACATAAACCGTGCAAGCGTTGGAGGAACTAATGTTCTTGTTTTTTACAATTTACGATTTAACAACGTTAGTATTTTATATCTATAAAAAAGAATTCGTAATGTTTTTAACAGTAAAGGCATACCAGTAACGAATTCTTTGCAATTTGAATAACTTAGATTCCGTTCGTCAGTATGGAAACATCAGATTGGCATACGTCTGTATGGAAACATATTATTCGTTATAACATTACACTGAAAAACTAACTCGCATATTTGCAAAGATAAATAAAATTCCATACCGAATACACTGCCCAAATTCATTTTTGAATAGAGAATGGGAACAGATTTTATTATTGTTGGCGCTAATCCCTTAGATAAAAAAGGTTCGATATCCTCAGAGTGCATTATAATATGTGCCATTGCATAGTTTAAAGTAGGCTTAATGATAGTTACACAGAAAAATTAACTCGCATATTTTATAAAGATAAGTAAAATTCCACATTGAATACACCGTTCAAAAAAATAAATGAATAAAAAATCCAAAAAGTACAAAAAAAATTGGAAACACACTATCGAAAGAAAGCTCTAATACATCAATCGCTCAGTGAATAGTTACCGCTATAGAAAGAAAACGTCTGTGAGGATATTATACGTCAAAGGAGAGATGTGAGCTTCCGCTACTCTGTGTGGATGTCGCGTTCAGTTTTCCAGTTTCATCCCCCACTACAAAAAATCATAGGAATGTTTGATCCATGACCTTTGTTACACGGCACGCTTAATCGGGTATATATATTATAGCGTGTATGTAATAACAACCGTAGTTATGAAATTGGCCAATCATAGCTGTTCTTCGGAAGAATGGAACGACTGTAATTGGCCAGCGTCAGACCTATAAATGTCCTTATAGGCCGTGTTTCCAAATTTACTGCCAGCGCTAAAAATGCTGCAATTTACGTTATGTGCACTCTAGATTTTTAGTACAGGCAGTCAATTTTGAAACATAGATAAGGGTGCCGTGTAAATGTAGTCACTAGCTTCCATCGTTGATTGGACCCATAAAGAACCATATGGGCCGGTTTCACCAATTACGTAATCGATCGTGGAACTGACTAATCGCGTTTGTTGTTTAATAGAATCGACCACTTATGGTTGACAGTTAATCACCGATTCAGCTTAATCGAGTTGATGAAACCGGTCTTTTGTATGATATCAACAATTGGCGCTAAGTTAAATTCTGTTAATTCATTTTTAATTTCTTATGGTACAGCAAAGAACATACAAAAGTATGCAGTTGAACATCATCTTAATATTTATTATGATATTTTTATATCACTATTATAAGACGATGGAGGTGATGGTGGGATTTTGTAATTTAGTTAACTGTAATGATATGTATCATTTATATAAAAAATTTAATATCAACAATTGGCGCCAAGTTCAATCCCATTTTTTTAATAATATTTTCATCGATAACAGTAACTTTAATCATATACAAACTTACCTTTTTAAAGAAGGTAAAAACAGCACTAAAAGTGCGTGCTTCTCATAAAAAACCATTTGGGTCGGTTTCACCAATGCCAATTACGTAATCGATCGTGGAATTGACAAATCGCGTCTGCTGTTTAGTAGAATGACCACTTATATGGTTGATAGTTAATCACCTATTCGGTTTAATCGAGTTGGTCGAACCGGTCCTTTGTATGATATCAACAATTGGCGCCAAGTTAAATCCCACATCTTTAATAATATTTTCATCGATGGTCTTTTTATTCGAGTTATAATAGCTTTATTCCCCTTCAAAAATTATGATATCAACATTATATTATAAAAATCATTGTATCACAAAATAAACTAAACCTAATGATATGTATTATTTGTATAAAGGATTAGTATGATGCATATAAAATATTTGATATGTACAATTGGCGCCAAGTTAAATTCTGTTAATTCATTGTTAATTTCTTCCTGTACAGCAAAGAACATGCGCAAGTATGCAGGTGATCATCGTCTTGATATTTATTTTAATATTTTTATATCACTATTATAAGACGATGGGGGTGCTGGTAGGATTTTTTAATTTAGTTATTTTAATATTTTTATTATAAATATAACTATAAATATATATATAATTTATATCAATAAATACTGTAGTTAATCTTGTTTCTTTATAACACATGTCAAATTAAATAAATAATGAATATTAACTCTAATGATATCATTTGTACAAAGTATTTGATACCAACATCTGAAGCGCCAAGTTAAATTCTATCAAATTAGAAAGTAAAACCCAAGTGGTACTATATTTGGTAATTATGCAGTATAGGGGAGAACTCTTCGATGACCTTGACATTAACATATGTGATCAAGATCATGACTCCGAGTGACCTTCAAAAAGTTTTAGCCCGCGGTCGTCCTTCGTTAAAAAGTTATTAACAAAAAAAATTTGAAAAATAACGTATTATTTCTGCTATACGTGCAATACTAAATACTATTCTATGTAGGTTTTGACTTTCAACACGAAGCGATTTCTCTCCCCCCCTCCCCCTGCAAAGGGGCTCACTACTCTCACCCCCGAATCTTATCGTCGTGCACCGCTTTGCAGGGCGGGGAGGAGGGGGAGTGAAAGTCGCTAAATAGTATTTAATATTGCAAGTATAGCAGAAATAATATATTATTTTTCAAATTTTTTTGTTAATAACTTTATAACGAAGGACGAACGCGGGCTGAAATCTTTTGAAGGTCACTCGGGGTCATGACCTTGATCATATACAGTACTAGACAAAATAAAGTACGCACTCCAAACATTTTCAGATTTATGTAAATAACTCGCCAGTCTTGGCAGATAGCATAATGATGAATGAGGTAAAAGGAAGGTATTTAGTCTACTTTGTAATAATGATTACAAAAATTTCAAAAACAATTCGAAATCCTTTAATAGTCAAGTCCGTTACATTTATTATCAAATTTATCATGGACAAAATAAAGTACGCACAACATTGTTTATGGAAATAATAACAACTGGCGCTGTTGATGATGAAAGATACATAAATATAACAATGAAGGATATATAAACAAATGAATAAAGCAGG